AAACAGAACATTTTGAGCACTGCGGAAGACCCCCTCACTCTCTCTCCTAGTTAATAGCGCCCCTTCCCAGCAAAGGGTGACATTATTTGGGCTCCGTCACCATAGACTAGCTTTGCCTATTTGTGAACTTTATTTAAATGAGCTCATACAGTATGTATTCCTTCATGTCTGGCTTTTTCCTTTAATAATGCTGCATGCAGCATAGCAGTGGTTTGTTGTTTTATGCTGCCTAGTGATAATCCCCTGTAGGAATATTCCATAATTTGAAAATCCATTCTACTGTTGATGGACACTTGGGTTGCTTCTTGTTTATGAATAAAGTCACTATAAAGATTCTTGTAGCTGTATTTTATGGACAAACACATTCTGTTCTGTTGGGTATTTATCCAGGAGTAGAATTTCTAGGTCACAAGATAGTCATATTTTTAGCTTTGGTAGCTACTACAAAAGTTTTGTACAACAGTTGTTCTAAATTACATTCTCACCAAGAGTATATGAGCATTGCTTCAAATCCTTGCCAACACTTGGTATTGTCATTCCTTTTAATTTTAGCCATTCTGGTGAGGGTGTAGTGCTATTCCATTGTAATTTCAACATTACACATTTATTAAATGCATACATGAAAATGATATGCCTATAAAATGGAGTATTATTACATAGCTCCAACAAATGTGTTTTCAAAGAAGATGTAATATTCTGGGGATATACTTATGTTAAAGAAGAAAAAATAATATATAAACTTGGTACATAGTCCGTTGTTTTTATTTTAATAAAGTGTACCTACTAAGGAGGACTAGAAGAAATTCACCAAGATACTCTAGTAGTTGGTTCTGGATGATTGGATTCGTTTCTTTTTCCTCATACTTTTCTGTAGTCATGAGATGTTCTACAATGAGCAAATAGTAATTTTAGAAACAAAAGAGAACAACAAAGAATATTTTCAAGAATGGTCTCTGCCTCAGAAAGTGAACCTCGATGTTCAAAAAATAAAGTACACAGGACTGTTTTGTCACCTGTCACATAAGCCCCCATCAGGACCCTAGAATGGTCCTTGCCACCAAGCGAGCACTCAGTCCATGACCACTTTCGAAAACACAGTACTTCTAGGAATGCAGGGGAGGTAGTATCCTCAAGGGAAGGTTCGAAAATGAAAGAGAACTCCCAGGTTGTGACAATATGGCAGATTTCTGCTGGATCCTGACAGGGTTTCTGGAATGAGGAGAGGAAATGGGGCACACGGGGACTGAGGATCACGGCGAGGACACAGAGAGGGGTGTCTGGGCCTCCTTGCGGGAGAGAGCATGTGCAAGGGTCAGCAGGAGGGGGGGTCTGGGGTTCCCCCTCCACTCCTGACAACAGGACAGGAGCGGCCGAGCCTGTGTTCCCTAGAATCAGGAAACGTGAGCGGTCTGGGTTCTGGGGGCTTGAGCCCACGGTAGCTGGCACCTGATTCCTGCCTCCACCAGCTCACTGGGCTTCCAATCCCACTTGAACTGTACTTACTCCTACCCCTCCCCTGTGTTCCCTTGTATTCTTGGTATTTATGTGGCTCTGTTTTGGGTCATTGGCAGAAAATTCAGGCGACTCCTCCAAGCCACAAGTGTGCAGCCTTAATTTGGCTGAGAGGCCCAGGCATCGATATTAAAAAACAAAATATATAAAAAATTCCCTCGGTGATTCTAAGGTGCAGCCAGGGTTGACAACCAGTGGTGTATCCCTGCTCTCTTCTTTTTTTTTTTTTCGAACACAGCAAACATGTACTTTTTTCTGTCAACTCCAGCTCATTCCAGGCCTTTCTGACATGATGTGCAGGGGTGTTGGGACACTTACTATCCCCATCTTTGATTTATATGTCCAAACTCTCATTTTCTGCTTGTGCCTTTTAAAAAATTATGACTGGGGAGCTGGCCTGGGGCCATGATGGTGTCTTTAGAGGTCCCGGTTTTCCTTCACCATCAGGATAATTTGCGACTATCTAGTCAAGAGATTTATTTCTGACAGATGTGAACACAGAATCATCAAATTTTTTTCTCTTTTTGCAAGCTAATTTCATGAAGTTGGAGTATGTGTTGTAACATTCCCTTCTATGTATCATTAGGGATGTCTTTGAGTGGAAGTGGGGAAAAACCCCAATAAATATACGAGATGGCCTCTCAGGTCTAGAGCGTGGGCTCCACACTGGGCAAACCCCGCAGCTCTGCCATGTCTTCAAGGGCCCAGTGTTTTTCTCTTTCTGCTCTGCAACCTCAGGGCGCCGGCTTTGCCCTCCAGGCCACAGTGGCTTCAGTCAGGACATCCAGACAGAATGATGTCCAGAGGCAAAAGTCTCTTGTAAGGTCACCTTGAGCGTGAGAACTTTCCCCAGAAACTCCATCAGCAGAGTTCCCTTCAAGTTTCATTTGCCGGGACTGGTCCCATGCCCGCTCCCAAACCCATCACACCAGAGGAAATGGGGCTTTTTAAGCCCTGGTGTTGGGAGAAGGGCACACTTGCCTGAGCCCCCCCGGGGGGGGGGGGCGGGCAAATAGCGTAACAACATCGGAGCCCAGACAGCAAGAGGGGAGTGTGCTGGAGAAGCACTCTGCACTGTCTGCCTTCCCTACTTTGGTCATCACAGAAATCTACGAGAGCACGACTATGAGATGGCCTTACCGGCAAGTCAAGAGCCAACAGATTGTCTTAGTAAGAACTCCGGGGAGGTCCTGCTCCATGGGCACAGTAGCTAGCTGGCCTCGGTGGTTCCTGAGGTAGAATCAGAAATCGGTTGCCCGAATCTGAAGTATTGGCCCTCATTTTTGTCTCTGCTACGCATCATCGGACACTCTTCACCCCCTTCACCACTCACGTCTGTGAAGTTCTTGACATAGGGCTGTGTCTTCTTGACATAGTGCTGCGTCCCACCCTTACTAGACCTACCTCTTTTGGACAATGTCTATGTGTACTTTTACCTCTTGGTCAACAAATCCCATCGCAAATTTTGACAGAGTTATGTCCTTGTGTTAATATGTCCAGTCCTTTGCTTACTGTCCAAGCTCTGGAACCTGGCATCCCTATCTGAAGCCGCATCTCATCGGTGAATTCCTGGGTCCTCTACATTTCCTCTAGTGTAAGGCTTATTTTTAAGATCTCCCCACTTCTTGTCATTTTAGAAGTCTATGAACATAGAATTGTCCATGTCTTTTCTGACATTTTTGTAAGCTATTTTTGTAAAGTTTAGAGTACATGTTGATGCCTAGCACTTAATTTTTGACAAAGACTTTTAACAGTTTTGCCAGTCTGTCATAGAAGTTTTTGGGCAAAACAGTGCTCTAAATATTTAAAAATAATCCTTATGAGCCTACAAAATAGGTATGATTCTTATTCTATATATGAAAAAATTGAAGCCCACAGATTAAATAACTTGTTCAAAGTTACCAGCTTGAAGCCAGGCCGGACTCCAAAGTCCAGATATTCTCATGGTATTCTGAAATCTGAGGACTGATATCCGTCAAATGGACTGTTAAAATGATCATAGTTTAAAAATGTGCTTCCGCGAAACGTGAGGGGAAAGTGGCAAATTAGTGGCAGTCATTAAACGATGCCCCCAGAGGACACTGAGGTGGGGGGAGGGGAGGCTGAACCAGCCAGGCTCGATTGCTGGGAAAATTATCAGACAACTGAGAACTGAATAACCAACACCCTCCCCCCCTCCCCCGCCACACTGTATTGTTATATGGAATGTCTGGACAGTCTAAAAGCAGCACCAGTTGGAACCTTAAGGTTCCAGGACGACTTATGGTCACTCCTCCCCTCCAGATTCTGTCCCCTCCTTGTGTTATTTAAAGTTTCTCTTAATACGCTATAGATATCTCACACCAAAATATGACTCAAGAAATGTAAAAAATAAAAATGAGATAATGAATAATGTTCGAACACGCAATAACCATACTTTACACCCAGGTAGGTTCTCACAACTCAAAACCAAATCACTTCAAAGCTACTTTAAGAAACGTGTGTGTGTTTACCTCTCTCACTGGCTGCATCATAGGAGAGACTGACACTCCCTTTGCTCTGCTATTGATTTCCTAGGTCTGCGCTGTCTTTTTTTTTTTTAAAGATTTTATTTCAGAGAGAGAGAGAGAGACAGAGCACAAGCGGGGGTGGGGGAGAGGGAGAGGGAGAAGCAGGCTCCTGGCTGAGCAGGGAACCCGATGCGGGGCTCCATCCCAGGACCCCGGGGCCATGCGCTGAGCCAAAGGCAGACACCCAACTGACTGAGCTACCCAGGCGCCCTTATTCTGTATTTCTTGAAAGTTGTGATTTTGAAAAAGAGGCAGAACATACAAAATAATATTAAAGGACGAACATGTGACATCATTGTCAAAGACCACCAAATAAGTGAAAGTTTTTCATGTTCTAGTGCTGGTTTAAACTTGACTCTCCAAGGATTACATGTTTCTCACTTAATTTTGCTGGTGAGCTCTTCCGGAAGCCATGCCCTCCCCCCCCCCCAAGTCTGTAAAAGAGCTTCATGGGTGTTGCAGTCTTGGGAAGAAAGCGCACCAGAAGGCTGGGGGCGGGGGGCGCACAGTGGTCACCTGCTGCCACAGCCAAGAAGCCCACTGCCCCCAGGCCAGGGAGACCACGCTTAGACAGCAGCCAGAGGCCTGCAGTTCTCTTCCAGCCATAATTCTAGGTTATGTACTCTTCTCTCAAGCCCTCCTCCCATCCATTTACTGTTCAGCTAACAAGCAACTGTATTACAAAACGGTAATGGAAAAAAACTGAAGACATGCCCGTGACAATGACCAGTAAGGATGGTGTGAAGGCATGCTAAATTTTGATTGATCATTTCTCTTTGATTTTGTTAAAATGAAAGAATAAAGGCTGGTGCAGTGTGATTTTACTGGAAAATGTAATAAAATAAATCAAAGGGAAAAAAAGAGAAAAGCAGTAGAGACAAAGAACAGGGAAACACATCAAAATTACAAATAGAAGTCATTTAAAAGAAGAAAATATCCTACAGCAGATGAAGAAAGTTTTAATTTCTTTTCACATTAAACATTGTTTACCACAATCAGCTAACAGAAATTACTGCAACATTGGTCAAGATGACATAAAACTAAGGATAAATGTTTGTTATGAGAAAACCTCATTTGATGTGACTGGCGATATTAGACACTCTATTTTTCATGACAGGATTTAAGATACAACCTATCTTGAACAGAAAGCAAATAATTCAGATCAAGGAGACATGCTAAGGTTTTAATAAAGAAGAAAAGCTTTGCCTTGTCCAGAACACTTAACAAAGTCTAGGATAATTTAGGTAAAAGAGGTGAATTAGACACCAAGTGCTGGGCAAGGTCACAGGCCCACAATTCAGGCTTTATTTACATTACTGGATCTATGCAGCCTTTACCTCTCGGTAAGTGAGCTGTTATTTTTGGCAGAGGGATCTTCAATAGTAGCCTTGGATATAATTAATCATATTTTAACTTCAGGCAGTCCAAGGAACTATTTTCAAAGGGACAGTTGAGTATTTTCATGGATATACTATTAAGGCATCTCAATTTTTGGTGTTTTCGGTATATAATTTTACTGCTATTTTATTTTCCCATTTTGCACAACAATGTTATCAGGAATTAAGTGACATAATTCCTTCTCTACTAATAAACCGGTTTATCCATTTTGCAAACTTTAAATTGAGGTCCTGTAAAAGGGAAATTTATAACATGAGAACACACAGAAAAATATATTGAAAACCAATAGAGAATTATTTTTTAAACAATCATAAAAATTCAATCATAATTAACTGATAGTCTAACTTTGGAAAGACAGAAGAGTAAAATTAGAATTAAAATAGGTATTAAAAATAATTACCAGTAGTTTGTTTTACAAAGAAGAATAGAGCCATAAATGGCTTAATTGCCCAATTAAGTAACTATCAGATTCCTCTTTAGTCAACACTAGGAATTCACATTTGAGCTAGTCAACAAAGCATATAAATATTTAACATCTGAATACATTTTAGTGATGACAGAGACTGCATAATGCTGTCCATTGTTGCTCTGTGCACAAATTAACCAGGTTAAATATCAAAGATACATGGAATACTCTGAAACAAGAGAATATTAAACAAATTTCTTAAAGATTCAGAAACAAAAGTAGAAAACAAATTTTAACATGGATGAGACCGTGCTTAAACAATAATCGACTTAATCAAGACCTTTAAAATTACCACTGAAATGCATTATATTTTTTAGTTTACAGAAAGAATAAGTATAGGTTGCAGGAAGAAAATGTTTAGTGCTATTTACATTCATTTTAAAACTCTGCTCTATACAAATTTAATTCTGATCAGTATGAACAATATTTTCGTAGATCTACTGCATATAAAGCCTCTTCATCAAAGCACTGACAATGAACAAAATAACCTGATTACCTTTAGACAAAGCTGACCATCTGAAACCATTTACACTGAATGTTTTTAAGGGCCACGGACACTTAATTACTTAAGTACAGAACGTAATGTCAGCCTGCAGCTTCATTTTTATAAAGGCTAAAGTTATTTATATGGAATATTGTTCTATATACTACACGCCAATCTATATTTAAGTTCTATAGTTAGGTATTTTATAAGTTTTTTATTAAATATATTCTACACATATTTGTAATTTCATCCAGGAAGAATTTCTTCCCAGTGAAAAAATATAAAATCTTTTATATTTTTACAGGTTTAGATGAAACTAGCTCATGCTTTAGTGCTGTGCAAATTATTTTAGCATATCAATTTTTAAATTATTGGTACAAAACAAAAGAATGGCATCCTTATTCATGTAGTATGCTTTAAAAGTCAACTTTTGATTTTAATACAATTGCAAGCACTAATACCAAATGCAAACTACATAAAGAAACAAAATTAGTTACTATGGAGAATTATTTAAATTTTAAGAATTCATCTGAACTCTAATGAATGAGTGTGACACTGGACACAGTTACAGATGAGCAATAATTATGGAAAAATTCAATTTGCTGATCTTCAAATACATAAAACTGATGAGTAAATGAGGTTTTCTATTATCTCTGCGCGGCAATGCAAGTCTACGAGTATGGAATTGACCCTCCCACATTAAGGCTAGGAAGCGCGCTCGCACCCCTGTTGTGCTGTGTGGACAAGCACTCGGTGACAGCGTGACTGAGGAGTGCGTGTGTGAAAGGAAAAGAAATTTGTTTCATCAGCTCTCTGCTGAGTGCTTTAAACAACAGGCACATTTTGTTTTCTCATTTGTTGCAGTGAAAATAGTCATACTCAGGTTTGTATTCTGTGCCAGTGCAGCCCCCATGGCTGACTCTGATAGAATTCACCCAACATTTCAGTTTCTTTTCCATTTTTCCCTCTCCAGTTGGCCCACTAATTAACTTCATTAATTGCTGAGTGTTTTCCAGTGTGGAATATTGTATTTCTGAGCATTTCTAGGTGCCATAAACCATGCTGTAAATTCTGCTATGAAGAAAATAATGTCAATCTTTTTTAGTGCAAACTATATTTGGAACACTTGATTTGTTAGTTCTGGTGATGCAAATTTCTGTGGCAGCAGAATGGCTTCCGCTAGGAAAGAGAACTTAACTCTGCCCCCGGCGATTGACAGCATTCAAAAACCAATATATTTTAAAACTGCTCAACATAAACAAAGATACTAGAAATAAAAAATCATAGTGAAAAAATGTTCTTGGTTCTTTTTACTCTGACGCAAGAAGATGACTGTTCATGAGATTATTCAGTTCCATGGATTTACAGGCAGACTCTTCCTAAGGGTTTCTGAAGCAATGTTGGGTCTCTTCTGTCCCAGCAGCATGAAAGACAAAGACTACATCACAGCACACCTAGCAGACAGTGTTTACAGGATTACACAACAATTACTCTCTCCAGTCTTTTCGCGATTCCTCTGACCTGGAGAAAATGCAGAAAAGCCTGGTTTATAAAAATGCTCAAATGGGGGGGGGGGGTGGCATCCAAACATTGTAAGAATTTTTTTTAATGTTTCCAATTTTTTTTAATTAAAAAGCTATAATTATAATTATAGCCTGTTTTAATTATAGCCCGTTTCCAGGATGTCTGGTTATTTGCTTAACAAGCTCTGTTCATAAACAATGAAAACTTCCTTTCCCTCAGAAGGTCCAAAAACACGGAACCATTTTTGAGTGCCTGTCTCTGTGGCTTGAGTGAGAAGCCTCTGCAGGGTGTGGCTTACCTTGAGAGTTTGGCTCTGGCAATGTCTCTCTGGCCACCAAATGCATCACCGTTGTTTTGCCAAAAGGAAGTTTTAATGCTATGGGAAAAGCAGAAGATAGTCTGTTACATATACACTGACCTACTGAAATCACTAATCAGAACTGAAACCATTTAAAGAATTGATTGCTTTTTGTAGGACCTCCTCAACAGACTGAATTTCTGACCAGTTAGAGCATCTCTTACAAAATGAAATTAGGTTAATATCATAACAGAAACAAGTCAAGAAATGATTCTGCCCAGCTATGGCCCTTAGTCTGACACCAATAACCATACTGTTGAAGGAAGGGGACAAGAGAAAATATATAATTAACATTGGAGATAACCTTCAGGGGAGAAAAGGAACTAAAAAAAGTTTTTGAGAATACCTTTTCTAGATTAGGGAAAAGTTTAGATTAAGAGATATTTGTTTCTGAATCTAATTATCAGTCTAATATGCAGTCATCTAATAAAATTACTGCACTGAACAGGCCACTATAATGTAGAAAAAGAACAACAAACTTAATTTTAAATATTTATTCTCAACCCTGTATTATTCAATGAAAAAATAATTTTCTTAAAAGGTTACTTTAAGAGAATCACTATCTTGGCATTATTAATAATTACTGTTTTCTAATCAGGTCTTAATTTAAAAGGCTTTCCTCATTCATAATAAAAAATTTTATTATGAAATATTTCAAACACAGAATGATATAACACACACCATGCATCCATGAACCACTTAAGCAAATATAGACATTAAGTTTCATGGTGAATCTCTTTGTTATTCTGTGTATAAAATTAGAAGCAGCCAGTATATCTAACTTATAAAGTTATTTCCATAGTTGAGATTTAGTTCCGACATCCAGAACTACTTTCTCCTTACTAACTACAAACTTAAGGCAGGCTTAAGATCATTACTTAGCAAGTATGATCCTCCTGCTACCTGCTTTTTAAATCTTGCTCCATAGGATAATGGTTCACATGTAGATTAAAAAAGAGTCCTAAATATCTTCAATATTATTCATATTTCATGTAATCAAGGTGAGTTTCCACCTTACTTAAAGTTGGCCAGCCATTATTTGGTCTATTCTCTTAACTTCTCAAGTCCAAATGAAGTATGATGGCCCATAAATACATGCTCTGATGAAATAAGAGGAGGGCCTTTTCTGGATAATCTCCTACGGCTGATTTAACATTAAAATGCAAATAAAACTTTGTATTATAAAATTTTTCATTAAATGTACTGGGAAAGACTGACTGAACTTAAGGTTGCATGTCACTCTCCTATCATCTCCTGGACTCCAGTAAGCTAGATCTGAGTTGAAAATCACATCTCCACTACTTGCCAATGTGAGATGAGGCATGAGAGAGTCATTTACCTGCTCCCCCGGCCTCAGTTTCCTCTACCCAAACAGAGACAGTAATTCTGTCACCTGCCCTTTACAGCTGTATTGACTAAATGAAACAATCCAAGGAAAGTGCTTAGTCCAGGACTTGGCACAAAGAATACATGCAGTAAATATTACCCTCATCATCATCACCATCATTTTGAGAAAGCAAGGAAGACAGATCTCAGGAAACAGGTAAGTGAATGGAGCTGTACATTTAGAGAGGTGTGGACAGGCCTGGAAAGCTGCTGAGTGGCTTACCATTTGAAGCTACAAATTTGATTGATGGGGATTATTATTTTCTTTCTCCATTTTAATTTTAACTGGAAATAGTAGATATGGACGCTAACAGTATCAAAGAAGGGAAAGGAAGGATACAAGAATTTAAAAGGCTTTCTCTTTCCTTCACTGTGGAGGCTTCTGCTTTCTATTATGACTCTGTACAATATCTAGAACAGTTTTCTTTTAAAGATTTTATTTATTCATTTGAGAGAGAGAGAAACAGCAAGAGCGAGTAGGAGTTGGGGGGGAGGGGCAGAGGGAGAAGGGGAGAAGCAGACTTCCTGCTGAGCAGGGACCCCCCCCCCCATGCTGGGCTGGATCCCAGAACCCTGGTATCATGAACTGAGCAGAAGGCAGATGCTTTACCGACTGAGCCACCCAGGCGCCCCCAGAACAGGAGTTTTCAACCTCACATAAAAATCACCCAGGATTTCAATGCAGTAGTAGACGGGGAGATGGGGAAAAAGGGAGGGGAAAAGAAAGGGGGAAGGGGAGGGAGGGAGGAAGAAACAGAAGGAGGGAGGGAGGGGGGGAGGGAGACAGAGAAAGCTCTCCTCCAACTTAGCCAGCATGCGGAAATCTGCATTTCAAAGTAAGTATCCCAGTTGATTCCTGATTGATTGCCAGTCTCCACCACATTTTGGGAAAGAATGAACTGCAATGTATTGAGTGTCAAACTTGTAACTGATCTTCTTTATCCTTAGTAAGACTGTTATCACACCCGTTCTTTAGTAGACTGAAATTCTATGGAACTAAAAAGTTAGATCTCAAACAAGGGGATTCAGGGCTGCGTTTTAAGAAACTTGGTAACAAAAAAATTAAACCTGAAACTTACTGGAACCACAAAATTGTAAGAGTGGCAAAGAATGCCCAGGTCTCCTGGTTTAACCATCCACAAAATGACTGAACCCCATCCATGGCTGTACCTACTGATTGTAACCAATAAAAAGGATTTCACTCTTTTTCCTCAGTGGTCTATTCTTTCTTTAGGCAGCTTGACATGCTCAAATAAATTCTTTCTTGTATTGAATAGTAATCTGTCTGCTTTTAATTCCCAGCTGTTGGTCCTAAGTCTAATGCAAGGTTATACAGAGCAAGTCTCAAGCCATGCAAAGCTAGCCTACACCTTTCTCTGTACTAGCCATTCAAGTATTTGAAGATAGTTACCATGACCCTGTGTACTGTCTCCTTTATTATTCACATTCAAGAACACAGGGAAACTAAAAAGAAAAACTGTGACCAAAAAAACACATAGGTGAATGTTATTCAACCTTTATCAAACACCCAGATATACTGATCAATTTTGTTGTTAGGTTTTAGAGAAAAAAGTCAGACTACATTTAAACAAAAATATTAAAGTAAATCACTTAATTTGCCTGCAAATACCTAATTATCAGAATATATTTGAAATGTAGGTACTAAAAACAAAACAAACCCTGCTGATGGTAGAGAATGTACCCCATAAGGGGGCACTATTGAGCTACACTTCTCCAATCACATATAAAGAGCAGTGATACCAAAGAAGTGTTTGTTCTAAGTGCTTTGAATATATAATTTAATCCTCTTAATCTAGGAGGTAGGCACTATTGTTAGCCCATTTTATCACAGAGGAAAGTTAATTAACTTCCCCAAGATTATACAGCAGGAAGCAGGGGAGCCAGGATACAACTAGGATAACTGGGTTCTAAATCTGCTCTTTTAATCCTCACTCTAACATAACATTTACCTTCGTTCTTGCACGATGGGCAATTATAACAGAGTCAAACTGAAAACCAATTATCATAAACTTCGCCTACTCTGTGTGTCTGGCTTTAACTTAAAAATATTACATCTAATTTATATTATCCAGAAGTACCATAAAATTACGTTTACAAAACAATAGGTAGGGATTCCTACATCTAATGAGATAGAGTTTATTTCATAAGGGAGTAAACACTTATCACAGAGCTAAAATAAAATTTAACAGAATGCAAAATGTAAAGAAGTTGAGTTACCAAAATAGGCAGAATTCATAAGTTTGAAATAATTTTTTTTTGTAAAATCAGCCAACAGCATTGAAACAAATGAATGCCACTGCCATGAGACAGACATTAAATCCCATTACAAAGGTGACTATTACCTCCTAATGTGACATTTCCATGCAGAAATCGTCCTTGATAAATAAGTCGTAGAATATTTGGACTGCTGACCTGCTCTTCTTCCCAGTCTGAAAAGAAGCAGTGAACTTGTTAGGTGTATTTCAAGACGGAGTTAAGGTATTACTGCACTGTTTATAGTCCTGAAGTTTAAAGATTAAGGTGAATGAGTTGGGAAAAATCTAATCCTAGGTAAAGAAAAATGTCATTTGAAAATTACTATTATCAGCAATTAACAGAGAATATTATAATGTTCTAATATTTGTACCTGTTAAAATATATATTTGAAGCTAGAGACAATAAGTTTAACAGAGATTTTGATATACTGATACAGAGAATAACAAAAAAATTATACCTCAATAAAACTGGAGAACACAAATTTTAAAAAATAACAAAAAAATTAACAATGTTTACTTTTGGATAACACTGATTTATACTTTGTCTTCTGAAGCCAAATGATAAAACATTATAGAAGACACAACTTTAGGTTCACTTTACCCAAAATATTCAGAAGAAGAAAACTGAAAGTAACATATATTAGAAGGTACTACACAAATATGATAGGAAAGTACATAAAGAAAATAAAAAAACTGGTGAGTAGGATGGGTAGCAGAATATTTCATTTTGTGTACAACTTATGTTATAGTGAAATATGGAATACTACTCTGTTAAAATAATGATTTAAGGACACTGATAATGTGATAGGGTACAGGGTTAGTGATTTCACTAACTTGGACGCTGTACTTACTTACTTGGACGCTGTTAAAACTACCCCCCTGACTTTTGTATCGGATTGGTGGGGTATCTTGGCTTTGTCACACACAGTTAAAGACGGAACGTTGGGACATTCTTTGTTAAAAATTACTTGCAGTAGGGGCGCCTGGGTGGCTGAGTCGTTAGGCGTCTGCCTTTGGCTCAGGTCATGATCCCGGGGTCCTTGGATGGAGCCCACCATCGGGCTCCCTGCTCCGCGGGAAGCCTGCTTCTCCCTCCCCCGCTCCCCCTGCTTGTGTTCCCTCTCTCGCTGTGTCTCTCTGTCAAATAAGTAAATAAAATCTTTAAAAAAAAAAAAAAATGATTAAGCTCTGATTGTGACAAAGATTTAAGAATTCCATTATCATCTTTCTCAAGAATTCTTGTAGGATGTGTTTGTTTCCTAAAGAAGCTCCTATTATCAGGAGCTAACTGTCAATACAAGGATGAGTTTAAAATAGCCTAAAGAGAAGTGACAGAAAAGAGGTAAGTAGAGCACTTTTCCTTTTGAGTGTTCAAAATGATGAAGATGAATTTGATAAAAGTGTGCCTCCCACTGACTCAGCACAAGAGAAATGGGACAAGAGAAATGAAATGGCGTCCTTTCTTTTCTAGTCCCCTGGTGCTTTTTCTGCGGGGTCCTTTCTCCCCCCCCTTGCACACCTCTGTTGCCTTCTGACACTAGTGCTCCCAGGTCCCTCTTCTTCTAGAAAAAAGATCAACTAAACCTCTAACACTTCAGTATGGATTACTTTGAATTCATTGCTCCCGAAATTACTGTTTAATAGACTTTTTCTGGTCAAGATGGAAGTGTCCATACATATAAAGACAAATGACAGTGTCTGATTCACTGGAAAAAAAAATATTCTAAAAATCTTTAAGTATTTTTTTGAGATGCAAAAACTCGAAGCTACATACTTCATTATTTTATACAGAGTATTGTGATTTCCATGTACTTCATTGGGTTTAATACGCTATCTACCTTTCCAAACTCTCAAGAGGATCTGAAATTTAGAGAGACCTATAGAAGAACAATGCTTTAAGGAGGAATTTCAGCAACTAGTAACATATATTTAGTGGATATTTTTTTGGACCTCTGAGCTGGTAAGAGCTATTCCACCTATTAACTATATTCCACTAAACTGCCTAAGAGTAGACCAAGAAAAACTCTTTCCAAAAATATACTGCACCAAGTGTTTTCTTCTACCGATTTAATATTTACTATACTTTCATTATTAGCACCAACAAATATTTACATTTGCTGACCTATTATGAGATAAAATGTAGACTAGATTGTTAATTTAAATATTTTAGATAAAATAAAAAATTTATTTTTATTCCCTGCATTGTCTAAAATTGCTGGGTAGAAGTGGCAAACTTAGGAAAGGCTGGGCTCAAAAATTTACGTGTGAAAATAAGTAACGTGGGATAAATACAAGCAATTTCCAAGGCTGGTAGAGGGCTGGTTCCATTTGGGACACCATTTAGGCAGACACCTGCACTCAAGTCCTGCCTTCAGTTAAAAGTAATTTTCATATCTAAATCAAACAATTATGGAGGTAAAAGTTCTTCTTTTTTACGTTATAATGCTGCCCCCCCAAAAAAAAATTTTTGAGAGGAACTGCCTTTTGTGTTGTGTAACCTCTTCTACAATACCATACATGTCAAAACTGATCTTTACCCTCTCCTCCCCAAATCACAAAAGTAATTTTCTAGATCATATTTAGTACAACATCACTATTATGTATTTAAAAAATGCTTTTCCTACTGATGGGTACTGTCATATCTGGCTATGAGGAAAATCCCATATTCTAAGAGCCCCAAGTTTAGTCTATTTTAGCTTTTTCTGAAGGAATTTTCTGAAATTCCCTCTTACCTCCAACCTTTTGCTTTAGTCCCTCCCTGATTTAGGAACTAACACTGACTAGTCCCTTAGTTATCAATGGAAGAAAGATTCAGTCATTTGACAGTATTTGTCCAAATCAGTGTTTCTTAAATGCATGTCTATGAATCCTGAGCTCATGAACAACAGAGCCATGTTCTTAGGTTCTGAAAGTCCTCAAGAATTTTTAAATCATATTTTCATTTTAATGACAATCTGGAAGAGATTATCTAGATAATTCAAATAATCACCTTAGAACCAAGTACAGTCTTGGGATTTATTGCCCACATATGCAGTTTATGATTGTACTGGCACCAAGCAGTACTTCTTTAATTGTCAAGAGGCTAATAAGAATAGAACAGTGGTTGACTAAATACATAAACAATGCATTCTTGCTAAGTGAAGGCTAAATGACAATTGGGTACACTGTGTGAATGAAGGTTTTGTGGTGAATCAGCAGATAACTGGGTCCTCATATAGCAAGCAGGCGCATAGGCATGCCAAACTCAACAGTACTATATTCATGGTGCAAGCAGTGAGTTGGTTTAAGCAAAAATATATCATCTGGCACATTAATGTTGTTAATTTGAACATTACTTGTTTTAGAGTTATATTTCCATTTTCTTTTTAGATCTGTCTTATGGTTGTGTATGAGCTAATAAGGACAAAGCATCTTAGTTGGGTTTCATGTTTCTATCTTTAAAAAAAAAACATTGTAATAAAAATAATTTAAGTCAGCACTAGAGAATCTACAAGAATTTTCTTCCTCTAAAGGAGTACCATATATTACTTAAGGTTGAGAAACACTGATCTGATTGATTCATTTTGAATACACTGTGTTCTTTGTTGAAATGAGTCTTGTCCTTTAAAAGTCTAAATTGCTTTGGCTAGTAAAATTATGTTAAATCAGCTGAAACATTCATATTACTATAATACATGCCCTAAAAAGAAAGTTCAAAGGAAAAACACAAGCCAAAGACCCACTTTAGGATGGCAAGACAAAGTCTTATTACATGGAAAAGAATCAGAGAAAGGAAGGAATACCACTCCCCCATTCCCTCAAATTTTGTTTGTCATGGATACTGGCTTGAAAATGCAATGCATAAATGGGTTTTATACCTTCTTGCTCTTGTAGTTCAGAGGACACATGAAGTGACATGAATTAGAAATTAACTTTTTATATAGGTTATAGATAGGAAAGACTAATGAGAATGTATTTTAATTTGTTAAAAATAGTTTTTCTTTCCTTTTACTTTGTGTTTTGTTATAAACAGATTTACTGATATGAAAGTTGTGTGCATGTGTTAGCTTTGTGTTTTTCTTCTAAAAAATGATTTTCATTTACATTAAAACAGTTCTAAGGCAAAAACAGATTTTGCATACTGGCTCCTTCCCTATTTTGCAATGAGGTAGCTGAAGAACAAAATCCAAGGACAGATATAGTGTTCCTTCCCCTTTAACTCTGAAGACTAATCTCTCAATTATTTGTTTTTCTCTTAAATCTTTATAACATTTTCAAAATGTTTGTGAAACAAGGTAGGGTATAAAGAATTAACATTATTCATTCTCAAGAGAAAAACACCACTCACCCATTGGCCAATTGTCATACACATGCTTTGCAATGTCAGAAGCAGAATCATTAGGAGAAAACAGGAACTCTTTTGTTTTCCCGCTTACCAAGATGAGGCGCAAATTTATCTGAAAGAAGACAAGGATTCTTTTAATATAAATCTTGAAATTTTGGAAGTAAAAAAATTACTCCTAGGCTTTTCATTTCAATCACATTCTAAATTATTACTAATGCTATTTTCTTTTTTATTTATTTAAATTCTGTAAAGACTTTTTTTTTTAAGAATGAGAATTTGGCATATGATTTCATTTCCATTATTTAATATATATGGGGGGGCAGATATGTTTGCCTTAAAAATAAAGGAAAACCAAAATTCATTATGCTTTTGTATTTAACTACTTCAACAATGTTCAGAGTTGGACTTTTTACAGGTTATCACTATTACTTTAGTATACATTTTTTCCACTGAAAAACTAACAAAAGAGGTGACACTGCAAGTCACACCACTAAACAGAAGAAAAATTTAGTTGATAATCTACTTAGAAAAAATAAAGGGAAAACACTGAGTTATATATAACTCTTTATCCTACAAAATTATTCAAATCTAAACAAATTAACCAGAAACAATAAAGAACTTTACAATGGTTAAAGGAGGAATCAATAATAGCTATGTTAAACCCAAATGCAGGATCATTTATTTTGGGAGGGCAGAGGAGAAGCTGTGTGTGACAAAGGACATAGATTCATCCTCAGTGGATAACCTAAGGTAAATAATGGAATTAACATTTCTGAGGTCCAATGAATTTACATTTCAAGTAAATATGTTTATTTATACCTTTTGTAAAACATTTCTAAATGTTCACTTTTTAATTTTTTCTCTATCCATAATTAACTTGATGTTATTTTTAAAAACCATGACATCACTCATTTCCCTATAAGTTACAGAAATGCAAGCGGGATTTTCTATACTTCTAGGCCTCTGTTAAGAGAGCAAATTAAGACCTTCCCAAAAGTTGGGTCTAGTCCAGAGCAGAGTCCTGGAACTAGCCTAGCTTCTTTATACATAAAGAACAGAGACTGTCATTGTACCAGTTTGACTTGTGCCTGGTCCCAGGTTAGCCAAGCTCTCTTCTTCAGCTACCAATACTTTTTTCTTCTACAAAAAATACCAGAACATCTTTAAGATGGCCAAGTCTACAATGAATAAGTTGGTGCCTACCACAGCACCATTTAGAGACCAGGTCACTGATTTACTATCTACCACCAACATGGCCAACACCATTCCCAGTGCCTCAGCACTTTGAAAATGTATTGAAAGTTATAAAATATCTCCTCTACAAAAATGCTAAGCACAAAGAATTCCTCACTTACTGGGATGTGACTGGATCCATTAGATGGAGTAGAACTAGATACCATACTAGAAATTAAATTCTAACTGTATGTGCATTTTATTTCCATAAAAAGTTTTTTAGAAGATAAAAGAAAAAGAAATCTATATTCCAGGTGAAAAGCTCTTTCTATATGTCCAGTAAGAATTTCTTGCTGCCTTTTTTAACCAGAATGAAATTTGAAATTAGACCAAAGAGCGTACGTAATACAGGAAGAGATCTGATAAAATCATACTGCTGTAAATAAGTAATACAATCCAGAAACTTTTTAAGTTCCATCTGAACAAAATTCAATAGTTTATAAGAATGATTAAATTTTAGGAAAGCACCACTTATTTATTTCATATAACAAATAAGTAATGAGTGATTCTTAAAGCAAGGAATGCAATATCTCTACAATATGAATTTTAGTTCTCAGAGATACACTATTTACAGCTGTCTCTTTATATGTGAATACTGATAAATATATACTATATACTTTGAATTTATATGGAATCTTTTAATGGCTTCATACTATTGTATAAGGGTCCTTCAGTCATTAATGCCCAAGAAATTATGCCCCTCATAATGGTTCAGCCACATGTGTTTAACGGGAAAAAAAATATAATTAAATTCAAGCTTCCTAAGAGTTATGTAAATTATATGAATCTACTTTTTCTCAGAATCATCTTTAAAGTTTAGAACTAATTTCTATTGGGCTTTTATTCAAATTATATTTAAAAATAACAAAGAAAAAGGGGGGAAAAAAGACTTACTTCTTAGAATCTGCAAAGACAATGCCAAAGCATACTTCAGACTTTCCCTATTATCCATCAATATGGAAATGGAAAAATATATGACGGTATATCCTTACTACGGAAATCTGTAGTTATTAAACAACATGAGGTATAGATCTATATGATCTGACATGCAAAGGTGTCCACAATATATTAAACTAAATAATATATACTCCCCATACCATAAATGGGTTCATGCAGCAAAGTTCCCAGAATTTATTTTAAAACTAATACATATCACTGTCACCAGTAAACTGATAGTTCACCCTTGTATTTCAAAATCAATGGTCTAAAGAATGTATGTGCATCTCAATTTTCAGAATGTTGGAAACTTTTGGCCTCTAGCTGTGTTTGACAGGTTTAAAAACATTTTTTTTTTTTTAATGTTTACAGGGGGACATAAACTTTTTAGTTTGACACAGAGCTTACTGAGCCCTACTTATTCACACTGGCCTGCTTCATACACTTATACCTGCCTGGCCCCAGAAAACATTAAAGTTTATTACTCATGGTAGAGCTTTGGGCTACAAAATCAGAACAAGATACAAGGTAAGATTTCAAAATCTATTGAGAACCTAATCACCCCTCCAGGTAGGGAAAAAAGAAAATATGAAAACTCTAAGTCTATAAATACATAAATCTAAGAAATCATCAAATATTACATTTAAAACTATCTAAAACTGACAATAACAGTTAAAGACTACTTCAGGAAGAAAGTTTATGTCCTAAATTAAAAATAACAGCAATAAACCCACAAACTTAAATTGCTGAGTAAAGTAACACATTGCCTGAAATGCTTCTGGTGCCTGGTACAATGGCTGGCATATAGTAGGTGTTCAATATTTGTTGACTAATATTTCAGTTTCTTTAGTTTCAGTATGCAAGTGGAAATGCAGACTGGAAAGGCCAGCACGAAGATTCAAATAAAGGCTTCAGGATTCTGGGCATTTTATCAAATGGCCAGTGTGGTATGTAGAATGGGAATGCGGGGGCGCCTGGGTGGCTCAGTCGGTTAAGGGTCTGACTCTCGATTTCAGCTCAGGTCATGATTTCAGGGTGGTGAGATCGAGCTCTGCATCAGGCTCCATGCTCAGTGGGGACTCTACTTGAGATTCTCTTTCTCCCTCCCCCCCCCCCCTAAAAATAACAAATAAAATAAATCTTAAAAAAAAAAGAATGGGAATGGTCATTTTTTGATAGTTGCATGGACATGTGGATAGTTCCAACATGTAAACACCTCAGTGCTTAATTTGTCAGGCTCTGGATCTTGTCAGTAACATGCCACAGTTTATATGAATACTATAATTTAGTAAGGAATTTTCAAAGGTAAAATTAATTCTGATTGTACTTAATTTTCAAATGAATTAAAGACTGGGTTATTGATATGGAAAATTAATGGATGAGTCTGGACTTGTTCCTATGTTTATCTCTGTGTGACAACCTTGTTCCTAGACTAGAAGTATACATCTGGCCCAATATATAGGCAAGTGTATCTTAGGGCTGTAACACCAATGGAGGAAAACACTAAATTTCCATGCTTTCTTTAGAAAAAATTTTGAAAGCAATCACCCAGATAAACAACTGGATACACAGGTTAGTCAGTAGTTAATTACTCCTGTATCATAGTAAGAACTTTCTCAAGCTTATTCAGATAAATAATGTCAATTATACCTCCTCTCAGTAATTGTATGGCAATTCCTATAAATGTGAGCTAGTTTCCTTTAAAAGATTATGTTCCATTTATTTAAATATTTATTAATGAAAGATCTTTTTACTTCTTTGAAGCCATGCTAAGTCAATCTATAAAATACCTTAAAAGAACTCTTGCTTGTGGGATACTAGAATTCTTGACACACTGACAATGGATTAAAAACTCTTATTTACAGCTTAAAATAAGGTGACATACTACAGGTACATACTTGTCTAAAAATAAAACTGTTAATCAAGACTCCAAATGACTTGATATGAGATGGAGCTCCTATTCTGAATAAAATTCCCAAGGGATGGTGTTCAGATTATCCAAATGAATGATACATTTCATAGTTACTTTTGAGGCAAAACAAATCCAAACAAGTCTCTTAGCGAGGTAGCAACCTTAATCATTTCCTGTAAGGCCAATGGAAATGACAAGAACTCTTCTATGCATGTAATTTCAAATTATCTCTATTTGTCAGATTATAACAATTTGGAGAAATCTCATCTAGAACTTAATTCACACAACAATTTGTTTTCAACTCATCAGGGTGAAAAAAGAGGAAGTAAAAAGGGAGACTGGAAGATGGAATTAATCGGAATGGTCTTTGGAAATAAAACAGACAAGTATGGAGATGGATCATGCCCTTTAAAAGAAATATGACTGTTTTTTACCAAGAAATCAACAGGTCGGTCAGAAAAGAAATTCTGCTCCTTCCCTGCTTTTGTGTTCTATCAAATAAATAAATAAAATCTTAAAAAAAAAAGAGAGAGAGAGGAAGGAAGGAAGGAAGGAAGGAAGGAAGGAAAGAAGGAAGGAGGGAGGGAGGGAGGGAGGGAGGGAGGGAGGGAGGGGGGAAAGGAAGGAAAGGAATTCCCAACTTCTCCTCTCAGTCTCCTAAGATTAAAATGAGTACTGAGGTTACTCTACTTCACATTCAAGTGAAGAATCTTTTTGCCTTTGTAGTGCTCATTCCTGCCTTTTTTGCTAAAGGGCAAGCGCAAGTGGCCAGTGGAAAGATGTCAGCCTTTCTTTGCAAGTCACTTTTTAAGAGCTCTCAATTTATCTCAAGGGGATCATACAGAGTAAATAAAGCCAACCCCAAAAGGTTACATACTATACGATTCCAAATATATAATATTCTTGAAATGACAAAACTATGGAATGGAGAACAGGTTAGTGGTAGCCAGGTTTTAGGAAGAGGGGAAGGGGGAGGGGTGGCAGTATCTATAAAAGGGAAGCACAAGGGATGCTTGTGAAGGAACTGTTCT